AGATAGCAGGAAAGAGATGGAAAGTCACCTAGCTCTTTACTGTCACCATATCTGATATTTATTTATTTATTTATTGATTGATTGATTGATTGATTGATTGATTGCAATCCAAATGCATGAACACAGTCTATATGATTAATCTGAGGTTCAGTATATTCTGCTGTCAGAGTGGGAAAAGGACCAGAACTCTCCAGACAAAATCCTTAACATTAAGATCATTTTACCTGTCCCAATCAGGGAATCTCACCCTGCCACTTATATAAATGCAGGAAATTGGGTTCATTGAGTAAGTGTGTTATAATAACAGCTGGATTCACACACTACACTAAACAAGACTAAAATGTGGTTGGATAGTTTTGGTTCCCCATATTACATTACTGCTTCCACCATCCCATAATATGGTTTGTTTGGATACAGCAGGATGGTTCCCAAATTGATTTTTTCCCCCAACTATTTAATTCCAGAATCTGCACCAAGCTGCACTGATGTCAAATTTATGTCACATGCATCATGATGCAAATGATACAATTAAGTACTTGCGTCATGGCATTTGATGGAAGTGCATAAGTAATGTCACTGTGTCAAGATTTCAGGATACACATCATTTGTCCCCTTCCTCACTTGCTTACCTTGCAGGTACTCATGCAGATACCTATACTAAACTCTGGTTTCTCTTTAGATCATGTAAATCTTTCACCTTTTACTAGAGATTTCCATGGAGAGGAACATTTGTAGAAAGGCCCTGAAGACATGGCTCTGCCACCATGCCTGAGGGTCCGGCAATGGTGGGGAGCTCTTACAATGGCTGATGTGGGGTGAATTCTGCTGCTGACCATGGTTTTCTGTTTTTTAAATTGATTATGGATAGTTTTATATCTTTTATATTGCTTCTTAACTTGTTTTTTATTGGATTGTTTTTACCTGTTGTGAGCCACCCAGAGTCATTTATGGAGTGACTTAACAATTGTTGATAAGAAAGACAAAAAGTCTGGATAGTGGACACTGCAATACCTGAAGAGAGCAGAACAGAAGAGAAAGAACTGAAGAAATCCACAAAAGACAAAGACCTGCAAATAGAAATAGAATAACTATAGCAAAAGAAAATAAAGATAGTACCAACAGTTATGTATACTGTAGGTGCCTTGGGTGCAATCCCAAAACATCTGGCGCACCACTTGAAGACCATCAGCATTGACAAAATCACCATCAGTCAATTGCAAAAAGGAGCTTTACTTGGAATAGCTTATATCCTGTGACGATACCTCTAATGCCATCAAACAACATCTGCCTATCCCAGGTCCTCAGAAAGGACTCGATAGGTGGATAAAAATGCCAAATCCAGTCTAAATTGGCTGACTGTGCAACCAACAATAACAGATTGAAAAGTCCAATACATCCAAACTTTCCAAAAATAACTTGAGGTACATTAAAAGTATTAGAAATATATTTTACTTAAATTGAGAATAAGAGTCTTGCTGGACTAGATCAAAGGCCTATCTAGTTCGGTGTTCTGTTCTCACATTTCTCTCTGTTTCCTGATATTTGCAACAGACAGGCCCATTTTATACTTAACTATGATCATTTTTTTCATGTACTTACTCCTGGCACCGTGCTCCTGGTGCATTTGCTATCCAGTCCGTGCAAAAAGCATCATATAATGTAATCCCTCTTCCAATTTTATTCCCCCATCAGGATACCGGTAGTCCTTGCTTAATGACAATTCGTTCAGCAACCGTTTCAAATTATGCTGAATTAATGGTAGTTATGACCAGTCCTTGAAGTTACAGCTGTTGCAGTGACCCCATGGTCATGTGATCAAAATTCAGGTGCTTGGCAGCCTACCCACATTTACAACCACAGCATGCACTTCAGTTACCCCTATCCCCATCTCTGTCCTTTTGGATCCCTGTACTCCACCACTGCCACCTACCTCTGCCGCCCCCCACTAACCTTCGCTGTCTTCTTCCTCCCATTGCTGCTGAGGCGCTCGCAGCCAAGACAGCTGCTGGCCCTTTATAAGGCCTCAGTGCTACTTTACACAGCCTCCACAAAGCCTTGCAAGGTCTCCACACAGTCTTGCAAGGCTTCAGGGAGGCCACAGAAGGCTGTGCAGAGGCCTTGCAAGGCTCTGGGGAGGCCTTGCAAGGGCCTCACAAAGGGCCAGCAGATGTAATAGTATGTGAGAATGACCTTGGAAGATGACGAAAGAGCCACAGCCAAGACAATGGTTGGATAAGAAGCAGCTTAGCCCACAACAGGAATGTGGACATGGCAAACGTCTCAGAAGGGACCCTTCCTAGTTTCTTGGGCTATAAAAGGGATGGGGGAGAAATGTTCTTTCACATTTGCAAGATTCTGTCAATGTAACCTTACTTCCTATCTGGTCTACCTCTCAAGACTGATAGCAGCTCCCTTGGATGGGAGTGCTTTTTCAGCAGCAGGAGGAATAAGATGGCAAAGTTCAGCTGGGAGGGGCAGAGGGCAGCAGGGATAGGCAGCGGAGTGCAGGGCAGCCAAAAGGGCAGAGATGGGGGGGAGTTAAGTGGATGGGGTTGTTGAAGTAGAGGCGAGCATGGCAGGGCAGGAGAAGCATGAGGTCCTCGCCTAATGACTGCACGGCCCTGGCCTAACAACCACAATCGGGACTACTGGAATTGCCATTGCTAAGCGGTGCAGTCACATGCTATTTTGCCTAACAACCACTTCACTTAGCGACAGAAATTCTGATCCCAGTTAAGGTAATTAAGTGAGGACTACCTGTAAACTGAGCTGAAAGAAAGTTATTGTTCCAAAGAGGACTTGAACCTAGGTTTCCTGGCTCTAATCACTCAATCTAACATCTATACCTTATATATAAACCTTGTTCAGGCATCGCACTAGGGCTTCCAATTTGGGCTGCAAATAGCCAAACAACCAGACAGATAAATAGCCAGTCTTGGCTGCAATCTAGGGATTGGCTGGATTTTTGCAGCCCCTATGTGGTGGTGTTATACTAGCATGTAATATGCTTTGTTTGATTTTCTCTTGTGTTATATCAATAAAGGCATGTAGTTTGTAAACCATAGTTTATGGCTCAGCATATTGCATGAACCAAACCAACTGTAATTTATTCATGAAACTACCATTAACCAAACCTATTGACCTGACTGCACAATCCAGCTAGTCTTCTGTGAATTCATCATACCTAAAACTTAGAGATAAATATATAACAGCAGAATTATTAGAGGCAATATCTTTCCTAGTTAGATCTTGTAGTAGCATTGATTCTGATGAAGAACAAAGTGTGTGTGTTTACAGAGCAATAGTTCAAGTGATTATCTACTTGTAGTTATAAGTGTGTGCATAAGGGAGAGAATGTATACTGCTACCTCAGGAAGGCAGGAAAATCAACCCTATTATCTTTACATTGACACTTTGTCCTAAAGATATACGCTGTGCTCCAGGTAGGTGATTTGTAACCCTTCTAATGACGATAAAAACATATACAATGTAGTGCCCTCAAACTGACATGGAGGAGCTGCACCATTCTTTACAATCATCCAGCGAATAAATTGGTTGTCAACATATGCACAGCAGTAGGTTTTCCCTATTCTCCCTTCTTCAGTTTAATGACCAAAAATCCATCTGTTTGTGATGATTCTGAGGACTATCTTGACCTGACCAAGGTGAATGGAAGGTTTTCAGTCTGGAAATGGGGTCAACACTGCAGCTGTAATGAGTAGTATCCATGAGTTGTGTCAATTCATTCTTGCGTTTGAGATGTAACACAGTTTTATTTTTCTTTATGCAATTAATGTCTGAAATCTGGAGAGGCTGTTATAAACAGATGTTGATATTTGGTAGTCCTAAATTAAGACTGTGCACAACTAAAATATTGAAATACTGTTTTTATTTGTTTTATTTAAGGAATGTATATGGCTACCCATCTCATAAATTATGACTCTGGGCAATTAACATAGGATTGAAAACAGAACAAAATAGCCAATAAACATGGGGGGGGGGGCATTAAAACAGAACATGAAACAACACACATGTTAAGCCAAATCACAATATATTCAAATTCCAAAACGGTTTATCAGATGAGATCATCCAAATTCCTAGGCCAATATCCAGGATAAAACAAAACAGGCTTTTAAAGCCTTCCAGCAGGCCTACAGGTTGGAGCCATCCAAATCTTGGAGGAATGCTGTTCCATGGCAGAGAAGGCAGGACTATGCTGGTGAATGGTGACAGTCTCATCATTTTGTTCGTTGGGGCTGCTATTTTGAGAACATTCAGTGTATAGAACATACAGATGCTGCACAGATGTTAAAAATCTTGAAGGGACACATAATACATGAAGAGGAAAACTTTTTTCAGGAGACCAATGACAATGCTGGAAGTCACAGTGAGACCGCTGGGTGAGCTCATCCGTCACCCAGTGAGGTATCATCAGTATGCTGATGATGCCCAACTATACACTTCTGCCCCTGGTGAATTAAGTAAGGCTGTGAATGTCTTATCCTGGCACCTGGAGGCTGTGAAGGTCTGGATGGGGAACAACAGTCTTTGGTTGCTCTGGCAAGGCTAAGTGGCTTTGGGTTCTGGGGCCTTCCAGTTCTAGGATTATGCCATCTTTGGTGCTGGATGGGGAAGCACTGCCCCAGACAGACCCAGTGCACAATCTGGGGGTCCTCCTGGACTCATGACTCCTGCTTGAAGAGCAGGTGGCAGTCATGGCTAGGAGGGCCTTTGCACTGCTTCATGCTATGCACTGGTTGCGCCCGTTCCTGTATTGGGGGGCTCTGCTCACTGTCACTCAAGCCCTAGTCACCTCCCAATTGGATTTCTGCTCTACCTGGGGCTGCCCTTGAAAATTATCCAGAAGCTTCAGCTGGTGCAAAATGCAGTTGCATGGGCAGTTATGTGTGCCCCTAGAATGGCATACGTTACACCTCTGCTCTGCGAGCTGCATTGGTTGCCAGTTTGCTTTTGGGTCCAATTCAAGGTGCTGGTTTTGACCTTTAAAGCTGTTCATGGCATGGGGCCAGGTTACCTGAAGGATCTCCTCTCCCCAATTATATCTGCCCAACCCACCAGATCTGGCAGAGAAGGCATGCTGCCAGTCCCATCCGTCAGAGAACTACACTTGGCAGCTCCCAGGAAGCAGGCCTTCTCTGCCACGGTGCCTGCCTTATGGACTCTTCTCCCCCAAGAAGTGAGGTCAGCTCCATCCCTATTAACATTCTGCAGGTCCCTCAAAATCTGGCTATGCCTTCAGGCCTGGGGGTCCCAGGGGAATGAGGAGATCTTGTGATGGCTCCTTTACTGCGGCTAACATCATCCTCTCCTGTTTTTGTGTTTTTTATAGTTTTAAATAATGAATGTTTCTATATATTTATTGTTATAAGCTGCCCAGAGTCCCCCATTGTGGGGAGATGGGCGGGGACAAGTCTATTAAATAAATAAATATTTAGTGTTTTTTAAATTAAGTGTTGTATGCAGCCTAGAGCCGCTTTTAAGCTGCCCAGAGTCCCCCATTGTGGGGAGATGGGCGGGGACAAGTCTATTAAATAAATAAATATTTAGTGTTTTTTAAATTAAGTGTTGTATGCAGCCTAGAGCCGCTTTTCCATGAAATGGGCAGTTATACCAATTTGGTAGGTAGGTAGGTAGGTGGGTGGGTGGGTGGATGGATGGATGGATGGTCAGTCCTGTAGGCATATTGGTATTACAGACACAAGTTGCCTATTTTTGGCTTACTGAAAGTTACTGAAAAAGAAGACATTTTCCTTA